GAATTTAAAAATCCTAACTAGAGTCCATAAAAACTGCTGACACTTCACACAGTAAAGCAGCACAGAGTACTTGGATAGTCATTTAACTATAAATTGCATGTGTTTTGTTCAGTTGGCGTGGAGGTTCTTTGTATTATTTTTGCTCTTATTTATTACATTTGTTTATGCAAAACACTCAGAACAGTGCCTGGTGCATGTTAGTGAAAGTTAACTTTTTTGTTTGTATAATATGAAGCATGAAAATTGCATGCATGAAATTATTTCTTTGGTATTCTTTAAAGAAGGAATATATTTTCTGTCCCTTTTATAATGTTTTCCCCTGTAATGCTTAAAGGAACTTTTCTGAAAATGTTTTCTAATTTTGACCTGGACACTTTCATCTTAGTCAAAGTTTAATAGAGAGTACTACCATTGTTAAGTCTCAGTGTTATTTGCAGAGGGATTTTTTTATTAATTACTAAAGTTGGAGATGATATTTATGGTCTTTATGGCTCTTGGGCTTTGATGAAAATGAAAGTCTTTTTTCTTCTTTGATCTCCTAAATTTAGATTGCCAGACTTTTAAAAATAGAAGAAGGCAAGATTTTTCTTATTTGAAGCATAGCAATAACTTAAAATATCAATAATTTCTCGTCTTGGGCTATCTTTTTACTATTTAGAGTAAATTTTGCACTTTTAAAAATTGTTATAATGAATAATATCTGTATGGCATGAATTCTTTATAAAACATTGATATTCCTTTGTGGCCTTGCATAGAGGTTAGATAACTTCTCCTTAGTGTGAACTACATAATAAATATTTTAACCTTTTGGGGCAAGAGCTAAAATTGATGCTGTTATGTAAATATTTATAAAATATTCCATATGCAACCATTTAATAATATAAAAACCAATTTCAACTTGTGAACTATAATAAAGAGGTTACATTTTTCTTTCAGATCACAATTTGTTAGCCCCTCCTCAAGAAGATGATTAATTTTTGTGAGAGTTGTGAGTCAGATTTGTGAGTTAATGCAATTAGTTAGAAACTCTAGACCTACGACATTATCATTTTTGTTATGGCTATTGTTTAAAAAATAGTAAAAGTTTTTAAATGCTTTCCATGAATTAGGCACTATGGTCAGTATTATTACCTGAATCATTCCAAATATTTTTCCCCCATCCATAGTTTCTATTTTGATTTTATTAACATTTTTAAATGGATTATGTTTTTAGTATTTAAATTTAAGAAACTTTCTCAACCAAAGGTCTTAAAAATATTTTCTGTTCATTTGGAGAAGTTTTTTAGTTTTAAGCTTAAAATTTAGGTCTACAATCTGTTCTGAGAGTTTTTTTGTATATGGTGTGAGTTATGGGTAAAGTTCATTTTACAGAATATGGATTTTCAATTTTACCACCATTTCTTGGAAATAATATTTTTTTTCTCTATTAAATTTTCTTGGTAGTTTTCTCAAGAATACCTTTAACCATAAATGTGTGGGGCTATTTCTGGACTTTTTAAATTTCCTTGATCTGTGTTGGTCCTTATACTAGTACCACACTCTATTCATTTTTAGTACTTTTTAAATGATATAGTGTAACTTCTCCTTTTTTGTTCTTTTCAAAGTGGAAACAATTCTCTTTCTCCAAAAAAATATTCTTTTGGGATTTTTGATTCAGGGAATTTTTGAATCTATAAGTTGAATTTGGAAGAGAATTTATATATCAACAATATTGAATCTTTCAATCTGGTAACATTGAGTCTCTTAGTTTACCAAACGAGGTCATCTCTTCATTTATTTCTCCCTGATTTCTTAACACACATACACACATTGTTTTTTAATATGCAGAGTTTATCGATACTTTGAAGTATTTCTCTACAAGTTTTTTTGTTTGTTTGTTTCTTTTTCTTGGTTTTTATATTTTTATTATTTTGGCATTTTGGTTTGTAAGGGTTTTTTTTTGTTTTTTGTTATTGTTTTAATGAAATCAATTTCCATTTGTTCTTTGCCACAAAATAGTTGTTTTTTTTAATATTAACCTTGTAAACTTGTTATTTTCCTAAATTTATGTGTTAGTTCTGGTAGTTTTATTGTACATACTCTAGGATTTTCTACACCCAAAATTACATTATCTTAATGGATCCTTTCTTTTTTAGTTCTTGTTGTTTGCTTGCCCCTTGTACTGACTGAAAACTTCAATACAATATTGGAGCCTTGATTTGTACCTTTTATATTATTTTCCTGTTTGACAGTTTTGTTTGATTTTATTTTTTAGCATCTTCCACAAAACTGGTTTTTAATTTTCTTGATTTTTTAAAATTTTATTTCATTAATTTCTGTATTTTATTGTTTTCTTCTATTTGTTTTAGGCTTGTTTTATTTCAGGGACTGATTTGACAACTTTTTGTATTAAGTTATTTTCTTTCAATTACTAGGGGATTATCCTCTGTTAGGATTTTTTGATTTTCTGATTTGATTTCTAGTTACCTTTGTGTTCTTGAAAGCATATTTAGTATATATTTGGTTTCTTTTAAATTGAGCTTCTCAATTCTTTAAGTTCATATCTTTCACTGTTCATCCATTATTTCTGCCTCCCATTCTCCCTTCTGTGATTTCAAAGACATTAATGTTAGATCATTTACAATTGTTCCTCTAGTTCCTTGCACAGGCTCTGTTTATTTTTTTTCCCCTTTGCCAATCCTTTTTCTCTTCATTGGTCAGAGTGCATAATTTCTGTTGGGCTATCTTCAGGTCACTCTGTCATCTCAAATGCTGATATTTAGCCCTTTGAGTGCATTTAAAATTTTTAATGTTTGAATTGTACCAGGCCTAACATTTCCAGTTGTTTCCGCTTTATAAACTCTTTTTCTTTGCTGAAACTTTCTCTTCTGTTTACTTCAACAGTTCACCTTTACTTTTGGGAAGTTTTTATAACAGCTTTATTAATATCTTTTTCAATCAATTCCTACCTTCTGTGTCATTTTGGCATTGTCATCTGCGTGAGTTGAGATTTTCCCCTTTGTTTATATTGAATAATTTTGGATTATCTTAAATATTTGAACATTGTGTTATGAGATTCTTGATCTTATTTAAATTCTATAAATAATATTGTTTTTATTTTTTAGACATTAGTACACAATTTAATTTTGTTCAGGCTACAGATTCTAACTAGTAAACCTTGGAGTTATTATTTTGGCATTTTGGTTTGTAAGGTTTCAGTGTCATTTGGAGTGTGGTTTCAGAGTCAGTTATTTTCAAAGTTTTTGTCATGCTCTCCAGATCTGTTCTTGACTGTATACCAGAGGCTGGTTTGGGACCTGGATAATGGTCTTAGTTTATTTTTCACCCTTTGATGTGCTATTAAGGATCAGTTGTAAACAGGTGCTTCTCTGGGGTGAACTTAGTAATTCATATTTAACTTTATCAAGTTACTTCCTAAGTTTTTGATATTTTGCAATCTCCCATGTGTTTTCTGTTTTTGCTAGGATTTCCCTTTTTTTCTCCACCCTGAAAACTGATGTTTTTTGTTTCTTTTTTTCATTCTTTCTTTTCTTTTTTTTTTTTTTTTTTTGGCTCTGCTGCATATTTCCCACCACTTCACCCATATCCATTGTAAAGTAGTGTATACTTGAGTATTCTCTCATTCATTGGGGTTCCTGCTTTGCAGTTGGCAGGAAGATATTTTGATATTTGGAAAAAAGTCAAAATTTTTATGGTCTGTCTTTTCTTACATAACTTGTGTATAGGACTGACTCTATTTTTACATGTAAAGTCATTAAAAACAGATGAAATTTTATTGAAATGATTATTGTAAAATGTTTCTTCCTTCTTTTCCTCTTTTATACATTTTTAAAAAATGTGATGTTCTGACAACATATGTGCATTTTGTCAGGTTATTGCTTCTTAGGGGTGTTGAGCCATATGACATCACTAATGCAAATATAATTTATTCATGCTGAAATTTTGACAAATGCTTAGTCCTTATTGTTGATCAGCATTGTCTGTTGAACTTTTCTACATATATATTCCTGGGCCTAATCCCTAGAGATTCTGATTCAGAGAGTTATGTAGTATAATAGGTAAGGAAGATAATAACTTAAATACTCATCTCCCCTACTAGAACACTCCTTTTCAATACAGGTCATCATTATCTACACCCTGGGAAATCAGAACAGATACGTCTGAGAAAAATTTGTGATGTTAATGCTCCTTGAAAGTTGCTGAGTGGGTGTCACTGTTGTGTTTTATCAGGTCATAATCTCTCACCATCAGTCTAAGCATAGTCTGAATCTTTTTTGAGTTTATCTATTTGAATCATTGAACAACTGATTTCTTATTCATAAACCAGTTCAGTGAGGATTGGAAATTAATATTTTCATTTCATTTTCTTTATCATGTTTAAGGTCAAAGTGTTTAATTTGTTCACCTTTTTTTATTGAAGTACAACATACAATCAAGTAAAGTACTTAAGATGTACCAACCTTAATTGTACAGCTTGAATTTTTCATATGTATGTTTATATAAAAACCACAGAGGCAAGACATAGACTACTTAGTTTTGTCATAAATGGGAGTCATGAATAGGTATTCTCATATATCTAGTATTCTTTAATTGAATGATTTTTATAGGTAAGCTTTTTTGAGTTACTTAATATTATTATTTCTGACTCCTTTATACCAAAACACATTTAAAGAGGGAAGAATCAATTGACTTTTACGCTGTTTCTTTGCTTTGGTAATCTCAAAATTCTTTAGGAAATTTTACATACTCCAATTGTAGCTCTAAAGCATTCAGTGGTTTTCTGCTTTATCATTTATATTGTATCTGTTATTTATTTCCACAGGTTATTCTTGCTCTAGCTAGGTTCACTTTTTTTCCCCTTCTGTTGGTACAGAAATGAAAAAGGAGGTTTCTAAAATCTTATCTCCCATTTTTCTTCTAGGATATGATTTAGGTGAATTCAAATTGAAGTGATTATCTGCATTTATTGTATTAATCTTCTCTTTTGTTCTTTCTGACAGCATGATGGAAGTGGGTCATTGCATGATATTCAGCTATCATTGCCATCTAGTCCAGAACCAGAAGAAGGTGATCAGATATATAAGGTATGACTAGATAATCATGCTGAAGATTTCAGAATTCTTATTACTAAAATAATAAAGCAGAACCAATTAAAATTTTGAATAATAAGAATTATTAGAAACCTAGAACTTGCTATCTTGTGAAATAATTGTTTGTTCTTAAATTTTGCTGCTTTGTTAAAATAATAATATCCCATTTTATCAGATCATAATGGAACGAAATTAGAAATCAACAATAAGATAAAAACAATAACATCTCAAATATCTGGAGACTAAATTATACATCTTTGAATGGTGAATGGATAGTATAAGAAATCAGGGAAGTAAATTAGAATACTGATAACAATTTATCAGAATTTCTAGGAAAGTATGAAGGCATTTCTAAGAGGAAAATATATAGCATTGCGTTCATACATCAAAAGAATAGAGATACCAAATAAATAATCTAACATTACATCTCAAGGCCCTAGAAAAGAAGAACAAACCAACACCAAAATCAGAAGAAGTCAGGGAATAATCAAAATCAGAGCCGAAATCAATGAAATTGTGGATTAAAAAAAAATACAAAAGAGAAACAAAGAGTTGTTTTTTTGTAAGGGTAAACAAGTTTGATAACCCTTAGCCAAACTAACCAAAACAAAGAGAGAAAACATTCAAATTCAAAATTCAAGATGAAAAAGGAAATATCACTATAGGATACTACTAAAATCCAGAGGATCATCAGAAACCATTTTGAAAATTTATCTTCCAATAAACTAGAAAATCTTAAAGATATGGAAAAATTCCTAGAGATCTATGACCTACCTGAATTAAACCATTAGGATATAGAAAACTTAAACAGATCAGTATCAAGTAATAAAATCGAAGCAGCCATCAAAAGCCTTCCAACACAGAAAAGCTCAGAACTGCATGGATTTTCAGCCAAATTCTACCAAAACTCTTTAAAGATAGAAGAACTCTAATACCTGCTCTCCTCAGATTATTCCATGAAATAGAAAAGGAGGGAAGACTGCCAATCTCATTCTATGAAGCCTTTATCGTCATTCTGAATACAAAATCAGACAAAGAAAAATCAAGAAAACTTCAGGCCAAATATCCTTAATTAACATAGATTAAAAAAAATCTTAATGAAATATTGGCAAACAGCATACAAAAACAGATTTAAAAAGATCCTAGGGATGCAAGGTTGGTTCAACATACAGAAATCAAGAAATGCAATTCACCACATAAACAGGGTTAAGTTAAAGAAGCATATTATTATCTCAATAGATATAGAAAATTCATTTGTCAAAATGCAGCACCCATTTATGCTTAAAACACTAGAAAACCTAGGGATAGTGGAGCTTACCTCAGCATTGTAAAGAGTATATATGATACTCCCAAGGCCAACATCATTCTGAATGGAGAAAAACTGAAAGCATTATCTCTAAAAATAGGAAGAAGCTAAAGGTGCCCACTTTCACCAAACCTATTAAGCATAGTCCTTGAAACTCTAGTCAGATAAATCAGGCAAAAGAAGGAAGTTAATGGGAAACAAGTAAGAAAAGAAGAACTCAAATTATCTTTGTTTGCTAATGACATGACCCCATATTTAGAAGATCCCAAAAACTCTTACCAGAAGACTTCTAGAGCTCATAAATGATTTTAACAAGGTAGCAGGATACGAGATCAACCCTCATAAATCAATTGCATTCCTATACTCCAGTGATGAGTCTGCCAAAAAACAAATTAGGAGTATCCCATTTATAATAGCCTCAAAAGAAAGAAAAAAAGCGAAAACCTTGGGAATCAGTCTAACAAAAAGAGGTGAAAGATCTCTGCAGTGAAAACCATAGAACACTAAAAGAACGAAATTAAAGACGTTAGAAGATGAAAAGACCTCCCTTGTTCTTGGATAGGCAAAATTAACAATGTCAAAATGGCCATACCACCAAAAGAACTATATGGATTCAGTGTAGTCCCCATCAAAATTTTAGTGACATTCTTCACTGAACTAGAAAAGGCATTTCTGAAATTAATTTGGGAAAATAAGAGACCCAGAATAGTCAGAGCAATCCATAGTGAGAAGAGCGAAACAGAAAGCATCCTAATACCAGATCTCAAATTATACTACAGAGCTATAGTAACAAAAACAGCATGGTACTGGCATCAAAACAGTCATGAAGGTGAATGTACTAGAATAGAAGACACAGAGACAAATCCACATAAATACAGTTATCTGACACTAGACAAGGTGCCAAAAACACATTGGCCTTTTTTTTTTTTTTAAAGAGAGAGAGAGAGAGAGAATGTTTTAATATTTATTTTTTAGTTTTTGGCGGACACAACATCTTTGTTTGTATGTGGTGCTGAGGATTGAACCCAGCTGCATGCATGCCAGGCGAGCGTACTACCGCTTGAGCCACATCCCCAGCCACTGGCCTTTTTTTATATATAAAATACTGTTTTAATATATATATCTTTATTTTACTTATTTGTATGTGGTGCTGAGAATTGCTCCCAGTGCCTCACACATGCTAGGCAAGGGCTCTACCACTGAGTCACTGCCCCAGCTCTAAAGATAGCCTTTTTAACATGGTGCTGGGCAAACTGGAAATCTATTTGTAGAAAAATGAAATTTAACTCTTAAAACTCACCTTTTAGAAAATGAACTCAAAGTAGATCAAAGACCTAGGACTTAGGCCAGAAACGCTGCCACTGCTAGAAGAAATTGTAGGTCCAATACTCTAGCTTATCAGCACAGGAACTGAATTTCTTAATAGGACTACTAAAGTGCAAGAAATAAGATAAAAAATCATTAAGTGTAATGGCATCAAACTAAAAAGTTTCTGCACAGCAAGAACAAATTAAAAGCATAAATATAGAGCCTACAGAATGGAAGAAGGTCTTTGCACCTGCTCCTCACATAGGCAATTAATATCCAGAATATACAAAGAACTCTAAAACCTTAACATCATAAAAACACAAATAACCCAATCAATAAATGGGCCAAAGAACTAAACAGACATTTCTCTAAAGAAGAAATACAAATGATCAAGAAGTATATGAAAAAAATATTCAACATCTCTAGCAATTAGGAAAATATAAATTAAAACTATATTGAGATTTCATCTCATTCTGGTCAGAATGGCAATTAGCAAGGATACAGACAACAATAAATGTTGACAAGGATATAGGGGAAAATGTACACTCTTACATTGTTGGTAGGACTGTAAATTAGTGCAGCCACTCTGGAAATTGGTATGGAAATTCATCAAAAAACTAGGAATAGAACTACCATATGACTAGCTATTCCACTCCTCCATGTATATCCAAAAGACTTAAAATATTACATACTACAGTGATACAGCCCATCAGTGTTTATAGCAGCATAATTCACAATAAGCTATGGAGCCAGCTTAGGTTCCCTTCCACAGATGAATGGATAAAGAAAATGTGATACACACACACACACACACACACACACACACACACACACACGATGGACTATTACTCAGCCATAAAGAAGAATGACTTTATGGCATTTGCCAGTAAATGGATGAAACTGCAGACTATCAAGCTAACTGAAGTAAGCCAGTCCTCAAAAGTCAAAGATCAAATGTTTTCTCTGAAAATGCAGAAGGTAATCCAAAATAAAGGGTAGGGGATAGAAAATAATAGATGTGTGTAGTAGACTAAGGGGAATAAGGGAAGGAAGAAAGATGGGGTAGGGAAAAACAGTTGAATGAACATGCCCAACTTTCATATGTGCATGCATGGATGCGGCCCGGTGGGTTCTGGCATCAGGTGTATCAGTAGGTCAAGAATTAAACAAACAAACAAACAAAAAAGTAAACTGTAGATGGATTGAAGAGGGATCTGTGGAGTGGGGTGGAAGAGAGGAAGTGCTAGGGATTGAATTGGAGGGGGTTGTGTTCCATGCTTCTGTGATTATGTCAAGGTTTGTCCTGGTGTTGTATACAACTCAACTACATTTAAAAAAATAAAAAGACAGTTGCATTGGTTTTAATTATGAATAGCAATTTTTAAAATATTTACTAGTGAGGTTAAAATGTTAATGGGTACTTGTTATATCTAATCGCAGCACTGAAGAAATATACTGGTGATGAGGTTAACTTTTATTTTTTCATGTATAAAAACATAATTATGGGGACTGGGATTGTGGCTCAGTGGTACAGCACTCGCCTAGCATGTGTGAGGCACTGGGTTGGATCCTCAGCACCACATAAATATAAAATAAAGACATTGTGTGTCCACCTATAATGAAAAAGTAAATATTTTTAAAAAAACATAATTATGGAATGCTGATGTATTTTAGCGAGTGATTGAAAGTAGTTTTTAAAATTCTCATTGTCTTTTGATCTATATTTAGTTGAAAGCTCTTTATTTTTCATCTGTTTCTCAAGTCTATATTTCTTAAGTACACACAGATATCAGTGATTAATATAATATTTATATGTAAAATTATTGATTACTTTTACATCATGTTTTCAGGATGTAGTAGCCATTGTTTGATAATCATCTACAATAACACCAGTAGCTTAATACAACAAAAGTTGATATTTCACTTATATTACACTATACTGATCTGTTGACTATAGATCAGCTGGGATTCTGCTTCATGTATCTCTTACATTTGAGAACCTAACTGAGGGTAGACATGTTCTACCTCTGGGGTAGAACATGTCTCTGTGCAGAGGGAAAAGAGCTTTGTCAAACCACATAAGAATTCTACTTTGATGGAGTATATATATGTCACTTCCAAAACAATTCCAGTGTTTCAACCTGACATTAATTGGACAGAAGACCTTAATTTTCTCAGAATGCTGAGTGATTTATTGGGAACAAGATTCTATATAAAACAACCAAAATCAAGAATGTAGCATAGGAGTCACATCTTTTTATCTAAACTTGGCTTTTTCACTTGCCTACCATCTTTAGGCTTCCACCCAATTGTTGTAAATAATAATCTACATCTAGCAGGTCTGCCACAGACCATCTCTTTTTAAAACAGTTTCACATAAACACACAGGTGAGAACCAGTAACTCAGTCCCTTAGAATTTTTCAAATACTTTTAAGTTTTGTGACTGGTTTTATTTTTTTTTAAGTTATTCTTTTTTTCTCTAAGTTTCTTCTTGTGAATGCATTTTTTACAGGTAAAGAAATTTTTTTTGGAGAAAATTTAATTCTAACTCGTTTTACTTAGCTAATTTCATCATTGTTTTCTGTATTTCTTTCTGGTATGTCTATATATTTGATACTACATGGAAGACATATTGTTACATGGTGCTTATTTCTTGTCCCTATTACCTTTTCTTCCCGGCAGATAATTCTTGGTCTTTTCTTCCCTCTTATCCAAGCTGACATGCAATAGCTCACTCTCTTCTCTCCATATCTGTAGTCTCTCTTGAACTTTGAACAGCAAATCCCTAACTGTGTTATTGTCTCATCAAAGATGCTTTTAGCAGCACAACTTCAAATGCACAAATATGGTGATTTATGCTATTACAAATTCAGGGTCTAAATTTTTCACTAGACCTGCAGTGCTTCCAATCTGTTCTTATATTTATGATAGGATAGCTCCTTCCCATTCTTCTGATGAACTGTTCCAGACATTAATCATGCTCAAGCATGATGCTCAGCCATACTTTCAACCTCTTCAGGTAGTTTTGTGCTAATCAAATACAGATGTTCTGCTTCCCTCCTTCCTGCCTTCTAACTTGCTAAACTCTCTTATTTTCACTTACTTTGTTCCAGATATAGGAGAAAAGAGGTAACTATACTTTTAGAAACTACCTTTTCTGTGTTCTTAACTCTATGTCCCAGTGCTGCTTAATTATCTAATAAGATTCTTCTTCTCCTTGCTCCTCCTATGTCTTCAGTGTACTTTCTCTTATTCATTGTCAGCTTATAAATTTGTATATTTTACTATCTTAAATTCAGGAAATAGCTTTTCCAACTTTACTTAAACCCCTTTCCAGTTAATGTGGAAACCTTGAAAAATACCCATTAATTTTTGACACGGCCTTTTTCTGAAAAGTTTATCCCTTGGCTTTTATAATATTTCCTTGGAATCTCTCATACCTCTCTGCCATTTTCCCACTTCCATTGTAGGATTTTTCTTTAAATGTTAGATTTACATATTTAGCTCTGTCCTCTTTCAGCTTTTTATTCTCATGATTTTATCATTTTTTGTATATAATGATAAAGTAAATATTTTTCATATTTGGTGGTTCAGTTGCCTACTAGACATTTCTGCACTATCCACAGGTGCCTCTAACATATATAAAACTCACACATGCTTCTCTTTTGATGGCACAATCATTCATCATGTCACTCAAACTAGAAATGTGATGTTACTCTTTACTACTCCTCTGTGCCCTTTTCTCACTTGCAGTAAATTGTCATAATGTTCATATTTTGCTCCCTTGTGATGGCTATGTAATGTTCCATCAAGTTGCTACACAATATTTCCATTGTCCCCTTATAAGACAATTGTAAATTTGTAAACTTGCAGATCCTACCTTGTATATTTTCTCATAATTTCTTTGCTATGATTTTTTTAGGAATTATGTAACTGAATCAAAGAATACAAGTACTTTTATGATTTTTATACAGAGTCATGTTCATCCAGAAACCTTACTTGCTAAGTCTGATAAATGCTTTTTTTCTAATCTTGGTTAGTCACATTGAATATTTTCTCCATAATTTGATATCTTTAGAACAATACCTTCATTACTTTACATTTCTTCAACAAGCCAAATAGAAGATTTTACCAGTTATATATTTGTTTATGAGAGCCAGCTATTTGTCTTGGGGGACTTGAAAATGATCTAATATACTTGAATAGACTCATATGTCCTTGAGATACAAATCCTTTGTCAAATTTACATAGGTTCTTACCAAGCTTTAATGTTAATTGTATAGATAGATGCCTTAAAATTTTATATAATAAAATATATTTATCATCTCTTTTCAAAACACACAAACATGCTTTTATTTAATAGAAAATATAGAAAACTAATTTAAGCTAAAGTAGAAATAAAAAGTTTAACACCCATCAGCATTTTAAAAGCATCTTTTCAGAGCTAAAAGATAATGAATTCATAAAGCTCTCTACCCATCCAATAAACAAATGGTAGCTCTGTTAAGAAAACCTAGGTGATTAAAATTTTTTTAATTAAATAGGGGTGCTTTCAAAAATGAAAAGGATTATTTCGCACTTATAATATTTTCCCATCATCATTACTTAAAACTACAGATACATCCATCTCTTTGTAGAGCTGATGGGGTGTTTATTGTTGTTGTTTGGTAGTGCTGGGGATTGAACCTAGGGGCACTTGACTTTTGAGCTACATCCCCAGCCATTAAAAAAAAAGGTATTTTATTATATCTGTATATTAAAATAATTTGATGAAAATTCATTTAAAACTCCTTTGGAAACATTTTTTAGTGCATTATAATTATACATAATAGTAGGGTTCATTTTGACTTAATTATAAATGCATATAACATAGTTTTCTCCATTGCAATCCTCAGTACTACCCACTTCACTTCCCTCCTCCCTCTTCCTTTACTGCATTGGGTCCTTCTAGATATTTAATTAATTTAATTGATGCATTATAGTCTTATATAAAATTAGAATGTATTGTGATATAGTCATACATGAGCCTAGTATGATTTTTGTCAACTTCATTCCCCAGTTCTTTCCCTTTTCCTGTCGTCTTCCTTCCCTTCCTGCTTCCTCCTTGGTCCCTAGTTTCTACTCTACTGATCTCCCTTCTGTTTTCTCCAGATCCCTATTTTTGATTAATTTTTTTCTCCCAAGCTTCCACATATGAGAGAAAACATTCCACACTTTTGGTTTTCTGAGTCTGGCTTATTTCGTTTAGAATAATGTTCTCCAGTTCCATCCATTTACTAGCAAATGACATAATTTCATTCTTCTTTTTGACTAAGTAGAACTCCATTGTGTATTTATCAACTCTCAATGATTTTATTTGCTACAGAGCCTAGCAATGTGTCAGAATTTATCCATAGAAATGTATCTTTGATATTCTATAATCCATCTTTTTCTGGTTAATTTATGAATTTTAAAAATTCCTATTCTCTTTTTATGTTTAAATAAAGATCATTCATTGTGTGTAATAACTTTTCCCATTGTCTTGTATTCTCCATTGTTTGGGATACCGCTGTATTATTAAAATTTGCTTACATATTATCTTTTTGGAAAGATATATCATCCATGTGTATATTCTAAGTTCTTTGCTTATATTATTTTTTAGCTATATTTCTGTGTGATTGAATGGATTTACATAAAATGGGCTAACACTAGGTTAATGATATTTGATATTTTGGAAATATAACCAGATTGCTGCTTGACTTGATGGTATGTTCCATTTAATAGCATTAAGTAGTCCTTATCAATGAAATTGGTTGGTTGTTTTCTCTTTGATTCAAGCAGTGCTGCTCAGTAAAGTGGTTCCTTGATAAAAAATCTTCCTTGTTGGGCTTCTTCAGACACATTTATCTTCTTGCCGATTTTTGAACCAGCCGTTAAATTCCTTTTGCAGCTTTAATTATACTAGTTCCTCTGCTTGTCACACACCCCTCTTTTCTTTGGCAGGAAACTCATTTGCATCCCTTGAAATCTAATGTAAGTTTCTGTTTTATGTGTGATTTACTTTACTGCTGGCTTAAAGGGAATAATGGTATGTTCCTCAGAATGGTCAGGATCAAAAGCTGAAATACCTGAAAGTGTTTAGTTTCTAACACCTAATAAATGTGCTTAATAAATGTTAACTGTTGCTTCTGTTATTGTTCATTGTTTACATGTCAGAATCCATTGTGAAATCTTAGAAGTTTTTGGTTTTTAATACAAAAGTGTTTCTTTAAATGAAGAAATAGTTCATTCACTACTGGGTCTTCATCATTGATTTAGTGCTTCTCATTAGGGGTATTTTAAATGACTCATTTAATTCTTTTAACATTGCAGAATGAAGATTTATTAAATGAAATGAAACAACTTAAAGAAGAAATAAGGAAAAAAGATGAAAAAATACAACTATTAGAACATCAACTTGTAAGTATTATAGTATAGAATTTAAAATGGAGACTTCCAAATTGGACAATATGTGTCTTTTATAAGACAGCCAGAATTAGAGTTTCACTTTATTTTGGGCTTTCAAACTTATATAATTGCATTATGTTTAGATTATATATGCTTTAATGAAAATATAATGTTAAATTTTCTCTAAATATGAAGTATGCTATCTGAAAAATTCTTCCTTGATCCATTTTTGGTGGCCTCTGTTTCTGGGATTTAAGATGCACCAGTTTATATTCATTTATTGATTCATTTCAAGAAGTAAGTACTTGAAGTTGAGAATAAGAACTTTCTCTCTGAGCGGAATGACACTGGTTATTTAAGCTTAAGTATTAGAGTGAAGGAGATTTCAAGACAGTGTTTCTTCTCTATGGATGATGAGTGATCCCTCAGAGTCATGTTTATACTTTCTGTATACTTATATAATTGTTAATAATTTCAAATGTTAATCCCATATAAAAACAGTATTTAGGAGCTGGGGTTGTGGCTCAGCGGTAGAGTGCTTTTCTGGCATGTGCGAGGCACTGGGTTCAATCCTTAGCACCACATAAAAATAAAAATAAACTTCCAACTACAACTAAAAAATTTTTTTAAACAATATCTATGGCACCTTGAATGCAATTATAATACAACTTATATAATGTAAAAGACCAGGATAAAAATAACATAATGCATAAAAGCCAAAACAAAATGGAAATATTAATTGGAAGGGAAAAAATATGTATTTTGGGTATAGCAAAGCATTTGAGCAATATGAAATATTAATCTCTAAGTATATAAAAGATATAATGTACTGAACTCTGAGCCACTGAGGTCAGGTTACAGAGATAAAAATTTATGAGTGACTAGAATATACAGATAAAATACTATGATTAAACGTACAAAGAAAATTTATGAATCTGAATAAAGAATAACCTAATAATTCAAACTTAAGTTCTCCCAAATATGAAAGTAGAAAGAACAATAAGACCTAATATTTAAATTTCAAAGACAAGTATCGGCTAACTTTCAGGGAAGGAGAAAAAAGAAGGCACTCAGATTAAACATCAATTTTTGCAAAAATTTATTACAGAGTACAAGAAATTGTTGTGTCTAGTATGCTCCAGAGAACAGGTTGTGTACCTACTATTTTAAATATATCTGGACAGTTTTTATTTATACATAAAGGTAAACTTTCATAACTTTAATGTCTTGAAAAATAAGTCACCAAGTCATCTTTATAGGCTTACTTATAGTGTACTCCAAATACTTGAGCGAGAAACTGAAAAATAACTCAAGAATAAGGAGATAAAGATTAAAATGAATGAACAGGGAAATGGAAATCATCTTTAGAGAAACTGAGTTTTACAAACTTCTGAACCTTTTATTGAAGAAGCTTAGTGCTCATTATTTTATTTTACATATTGTACATCATTTCAGTGTTGGAAATTGCTTGAATTTATAAATCTTTGATTTTTGTGAAATTAAAATAATTTTAAACTCTAAAAATTGTAAATTACTAATGATTTTTGAAGAGATTTAGATAAATAAGTTTCAGGAAAGAGATAAGGGAAGGAAATTAGAAAGAGATAGGGAAAGAAGTCAGACATACTGAATTTTGTACTTCTACAAATGAGTGCCCAAGTTATTCTTTATTTTATTTTACTGTACTTCAGTTCTAATGTTTGTGACATAGTTTGAGACAGTTAATAGGTTGGAATAGTGTACAGAAAGTGATGAAATTAAAAGGGATATAAAGAAAATCTCAGATCTGCAAAACTAAGGCAATAGTAATTAGACCAAAAAAATATGATTTTAAGTACAAATGGTTTTACTTCATGAAAAGAGTTACATTGAGGATTTAAAGCAAAGTGTGTAGTAACTTGCTTTATATACAGGAAATTTAGGTAAATTTTTGACATTGATAAGGCTGAATATAAAAGGTTGGGAGACAGAATAAAATTATCCTCACCCAAAAGTGCAGTATTAAAATTAGAAAAGTAAGTTTAATAATGGAAAAATAACACTTTATCTTGATTTATGATTAATAAATAATAGGACAAATCTTCTTATGCTGTTTAGTTTTTTAAAAGTATTCTCTTATCCACTCCTTGGTTTATATACCCAAAGGACTTAAAATCAGCATACTACCGTCACATCAGTATTTATAGCAGCTCAATTCACAAGCTAGACTATGGAACCAACCTAGGTGTCCCTCAGTAGATGAATGGATAAAGAAAATGTGGTATATACTCAATGGAATATTACTCAGCTTTAAAGAAGAGTGAAATTATGGCATTTGCCAGTAAATAGTTGGAGAATATCATGCTAAGTGAAATAAGCCAATCTCACAAAACCAAAAGCCTAATGTTTTCTCTAATATGCAGATGCTAATTCACAATAAGGAGGGGGGGAACTAGGGAAGAATAGTGTTACCTTAGATTAGGTAAAGGGAAATGATGGGAGGAGAGGGAAGAATATGTGGGGATAGGAAAGATAGTAGAATGAAACAGACATTATTACTGTATGTAAGTATGTGACTACATGACCAATATGATTCTGCAGCATGTACACTCAGAAAAATGAGAAATTATATCCCATCTATGTATATCAAAGTACATAAATGCATTCTACTGTCATGTATAACTAATTAAAACCATATAAAATTTTTTTTAAAGTTCTTAACTTTAATATGCATCTTTAAGAAAAATGACCAGGTCTCTTTATAGTTGAAACAATATTATCTATCATCTTTAAACAATTAATAAAAATTCCTTAATATTTTCTAGCATCTAGTTCATGTTCATATTTTCCTACTTCTTCCCAAAATATCCAGTACATTTGATTTGTCCAAACTAAAATCAATTCTAGGACCATGTATGACAACTGATTATTATATCTTTTAAATCTCTTTTAATTTAGAACCATTGTTTTTGTTATACTTGTGAAGAGAAAAGAACCAGCTGGCCTGAACAATATCTCACCTGAAAATAATTGTATAAAGATTTCAGAAATATGTAAGAGAATCTCAAAGAAAGAACACAAGAAAAGTGAAAGCATTAGACTTTAGCAATATATACCATTGAATTCTCATTTTGATATATTGAACCTAGAAATCACGTTTATTGTGAATCAGCTAAGTATTGTACACAGTTTTTTTTTTTTTTTTTTAAATATAGATTACTCCAGAGACTGTGTGCATTCAGCTAAAAACTCCCCCTTATAAACACATCAGAATCACATCAGCCCATTTTCAAATTTTAGGGGAATTGTGGCCTATATCAAGAGAACTTTGTGAAACTTACTTGACAGTTCCTGTTCTTGAATATAGAGACAATGTTAGTGTTTTCTCAATATATAAATTTAGCCAACTGAATGGATTCTTTGCTTCTTATTGCAAGCAGCAATGCTCTGTGAATTGAATGTCTTACTAATTGAGTTTTAAGGGGCTAAGTGTCTCACCCACCGCCATCTGTTTGTTAGTAAGAAATGAGAAGTCATTCAGAAAAATTACCAATAGAATAACATGGTTTAGTTATGGACCTTGTTAAAAACAAAAACATTTATAAACTCAAAGTAGATATAGGAAGTGGTACATTTCACATTATCAAAGTTAAAATGGTCTTCTATTTATATTTCTTTATTGTTTTCTTTCTTTATATCTCTAAATAGCTTTTTTAAAAATAGGATAAAAAGTGATCAAAAAAGCTATAGAGAGGAATTAGAGGACTTTTTTTTTTAGCTCTAATATGAATCAGCTGTATGACAGGCAGTTTCCCTTGGTTCTGTAGCTCTTTATTTAGAATGTGAAGATTTTTCTTGTTAGTTTCAAAAGTCCCCTTCCATTTCTAGCATTCTGTGCTTTTTTGGTTTTGAAAAAAAAATGTATTCAACTCTAACCTATGTTTGCATGAAGATTTTCAGAAGCATATAATGACAGTATGAAGTGTTGAATTCATATTTTATGTGAAATATGCTGATGTAAAATCAGATTTGCAGTGCTCTGAGAATATAACAAAAATGTATAGAAGATTGTCTGTTTAAATCTAATTTTAAAATGTCAAGAATTACCAGTTTATTTTCACCTCAGAACACTAGTTAAATAGTAGATAATTTAGATATATATGCTCATTGAACTTTCATAATAATCTTGTGAAATTGCTAATATTGAATTTTCTTTCTTTATGGAGACACAGAAAGTGGTACTCAGGTTAAATGGGTTAACAGTATTTTTTAAAAACCATGATAGACCCAGATTCATATCCTAGCTTTGAAATTTGATAGCTATGTTCTCTTCAGGAAGTTATATAATCTTTCCTAAGCCTCATCTGTAAGTGGGGATAATAGAAGTCGTACAGACACATAAGTTTGGATTGTTAAATTAACTACATATGTAAACTAATGCCTGGCCCATGGGTGTATGATAAAGATTAACTCTTACCAAATGACTTGCTGCAAACTACTTGGCATAAATCAATGCATATCTTATGATGTTTCAAGTTTGCAGTAAAAGCCCCCAACTAAAAGCAGCTTTAAAAAATAATTAAATTTGTAAACTCAAATAACAAAAAAATGTATGGGTCCCATCCATTTTCGTGGTTGTTTATTGGTCATTTGGTTAATAATGAAGTCTAGGTTAGTTTTTCTGGAATACTCTTGTCTGCCCTTTCATGGATAAAAGATTTCTACAGTAGCCTTTTATGTCACTCTTTCACACAGTAATACCCAATTGTGGGTAAAGGCCTGTTTTCTCTAGCATATGTATTTTTTAAATCAGGAAACACTTTCTCAGAAATACCACCAGGCTTTTTGGCTAGATTTTAGTTACTTGTCCCTTCCTAAGCGTAGAACAAATGGATTAACTATTTTGGTTCATACTTACCAAGATGTGGCTCTTTGGAGCAAGAGATAAGGCACACACATAATATAAAACACTTATTATAATGTACTTGCATTATAATAAGTGTTTTATATTATATTGTCTTTGTTTTTTTTTGCATACCTGCCAGATATGTTAAAAGTTAAGTCCTATTATAGTGAATTTTATACTACATTTTGTTTCAATCACTATCCCATTTTGGGGGGAATGGAAAATAAGCATGTCCTATAGAAGATTTTGTTTTTAAGTAGAAACAAGTTTACCTTGATACAGTAATCTAGAATTTCTTAGGTTTTCCTATGAGAAAATATATTTACTTTGAATGGGATTGTTTTAACAAATAATGTAGGTATGTTACAGCTTCACAATTAAGGGGAAATTTTCATTATCATCTTTTTATTTATTTTTTTGAATTTGATGATAATTTGAGAGACCTAAAAATACACAAGAGGTATGTCCTATCATATAAGTGAGTGCTTTAAGTGGAATCATGTAGAGAATTTATTTATGAATTGAGAACATCAGGGTATCTTGTCACAGGGTGGAATCCTTTAAAATATTCTTGTTCAGTAAAGATGATACATCATTTGGGGGGCTTTAAGCAGTGTAAGTAATGAGTAGACAGTCTGACATGTGGGCTGTTGACATTTGATATCCTGTAGAGTGATTACTTATTTGTGTGTATATGCATTAAACCATTGTAAAAATTTTTGGTTTTGTTCAGGCAACCCGGTGTAACTGCCACCAAAAATCTAAAGAGGAAAAATGCTCATATGCTGATAAATATACCCAAACACCCTGGAGAAGAATTCCTGTAAGTGACATGCTGTTAATCTTCTCTCATGTCATTTGTTATTTTGATGTCCCCTCCTGCTCTTTTTTACTCTAATCACTAATAATTTTGAAATGCCATGGCTAATTTTCTTTCTTAGGTAAGTTTTTTTCTTGTCTCTTAGATGTTTATGTGCTTTCTAAAGCTTCTCTTGTGTGTCCTATATAAGCGAATGTGCATTTAATAGCTTTTCCATTCTGCATATTGTAGCTCATTTAATTTGAGTGTCTATTCTCCTTTCATTGCATGTTTTTATGAGAGTAGTATTTTCACATGGCCAAAAAAAAAGAAAAACAGAAGTCTAATATGCATTTAATTTTTTTGAGCAGCATATGACACTTTGAGGATATATGATGTAACATATTCCTTTTGTTGTTGTTGTTCTTGAAACTTTTACAAATTTATTGTAATTACTGAAAAAATATTGAGGGTATTAGGAAATTTAATGCATGAAGACATAACTAGTAAAAGTGAAGTTTCAGGCAGAGTTACGGTCTAGATTCCTAACAATAGGAAGTAACCATCTTCCTTATTTATTATTTTTTCAAAAATGTTATATCTCAAAACATATTCATTGCTAAAAATATCCTGACCATCCCTTAACTTAGTTGAGGATGTTCTTGAGCCAGAGAATTATTACATGACCATCAGTCATCATTATCCTCTGTATGATGCCAGGTAATAGACATTTCTTATTAATAGAACACCTGATACACCAGCCTTGATTTTTATTTTGCCTTATATTTAGCAGCAGAATCCTGGTAACACAAATGAATAGGGATAGATAATGGTTATTGTAATCAACAATTCAATTTAGAATTCGTAACTTTTTTTATAAAATAGTTATTTTCTTTTCATCTAACAAGTAATTATTTTTGTGTGCTCTGTATAAGGTATAGTGGAAGAATTAATTTATTTGGCAAAGTTTTGTAATCATCTCTTATTCTAGATATTAAGCTCTTAAAGTAGAAATGGGGAATAGGGGAAGGAAGTACACAGATACATAGGTATTATTCCATTTATAAGTACTTTTTAAAAGGAACTAGTGATATACTGATTCAAACTGCTGTACGTTCTATGATGGCAGAGGATTGGGAATGTCTTAGTGGAAGAATCAAAAAGGTTGGGGAAGAAGATCAAGGTAGCGTTTGAATCATAGAAAGTAAAAGATGCCATGAGGTGAAGATGATATATTTTTTTTAATGTCAAAGGATATGGAAACTTATTGTTTGGAGGCAATTGTAAAAATAAAAGATTGTGCCCCTTGCTTAGGTTTCTCCAGTTACCCCAAAGGGAGGTTTATGTCTTCTGACGTGTTACTAAATAAAGTGGCAATTCCATTAAGCATGAGAAGTTCCCTTTTACGGAAGTTCTTTATATTATTTTGCCTGGCTCCCTCAACCCCTGGCTTGAGTTCTAGAAACTGGATATTTGTCAGCCTCCTCACTAGACAAAAGTAATTGGTGTATACCAACCCAGTTTTACCATGATCTTGGTTGAAATGAAAGTCAGTTTTCCAAATTAATACTCTTAAAAAACCCAGACTTCAGTTTTCTCTATTATCTATTATGTAAAGAATCACCTAGCTAAATACTTTGTTTTGTCTATGGATAATGTAACAGACTCCAGGGAGATTAAATGCCCTACTAAAGATTCTGTAGTAAATAAAGTGCTGAACTAGTACTATAATTCAGGAATCCTGACTGCTAGTCCAAGGTTCCTTTTAATAAATGCACACTGAGGAGCCCTAGAGGGTGAGAGATTTTACAGATTAAAATGGTAGAAATATCTAGCAAAATGAATAGTAAAAGTAAAGGCAAAGAGGTAGAAAGGAATAGTTAGGCAATAGTTAGTATAGAAGTGTATGTTTGAGGAAATAATGAAAATTTGTTAAAAGCTTATTTTAGTATAGAATGGAAAATTTTAATCCAGAAATTACTTTAAATGTAGTTTTACTGAGCTTTATTTATTTTATTAAATAAATAAATATTTAGCCAAATAAAAATTATATTTACTGAAGTAGTAATTTTTAACTATTAAATATTGTCTATCTGATTTTTCTTGTGCTCTTTGGGCAGCATTGGAAACCATTTACTATAATTATAATATTTTATTTTCTTAAAAAGTTATACTTTAAATGTTTTCTTTAGCAATTACCCAACATATTTACATAAGATTTTGGTAATGGAGATATGGAGATGCAATGTGGGTCTTCTTTGGCAACTTTTAGTTTGTTAGGCGATAATTTTTGGAATGAAAACATGTTATTTAAAAGTCCTCAAGCTTAGTAAAACTATTTTTTTAAATCTGTCTAAGACTTTGAGAAGGTTACAAGTTATAATCTTCACCCTTTCTTATGATTTCTAAGGAAATTTAAATGTGCTTCTCAGCATTGTCTTAGTCATTTGATATAGAACCTGTCAGAGATTGATGAGGGACTTGTGAGGATTTCCTCTGAATGTTTTCTATATATGAAGGAAGAAATCTGGCTGCAGAAGGTTGGGGAAGAAGATCAAGGTAGCGTTTGAATCATAGAAAGTAAAAGATGCCATGAGGTGAAGATGATATATATTTTTTTAATGTCAAAGGATGCAAATGGAAGGTGGAAAGAAATGTTGAAGGAGAGAGGGTTGCTGCTTGTAGGACTTACTGGCAGCCATTTGGGAAGTAGAAAGAAATAAAAAAAGAAAATAAGCCAGAACCTCAGTCAGAACCTGCTTGAGGAGGGAGAGTGATTGTCCACCAATGGCAGCAAAACAATAGAAATTTAGATGTATTGAATACAATGTAAATTTCCATTACAGATTTATTCAGAGGAATTTTGATACTCTCTAATGACTACAAATAAGATCTCTAAAATAGAAAATTAATAGGAAAGAAAGCATTAGAATAGAGGAAAGGAAGAAAAGCAGATTTTCACTTACTCCTTGAGCAGATATTTGTGTGCTTCTCAAAGCCAAGCAGTGTCTTAATATGGGAGTGTGAGTGTGAAGAAAATACAGGCCCAATCCTCAAGATGCTTATGGAAACTTCTAGTATGCCTAAAATGGCATTAATTTTGCTCTTTTCCTACATGAAGAACATAACACTAAGAAAAGACCTGTGCAAGTACTTGAACAACTTTTATACAGCTGTATTATATGAAAATCAAGATTTTCAAACGTATGGGTAGCATCTTATTCCCCTTCCTGTTCAGTAGCTACAGGAGGTGAGGTTAAAAGGAATAGCGAGAATAAGGTCATAGCTCTGGGAAGGAAGGACAGAGGCTTGATATCAGTGAGAGATCACAGTAAGGACTTCCCTGAGAGAGAGAAAAGCTTGTTACCTGGTTTGCCCTGTGTGTTAGAGGTCTTAACTCTCTATTATAATGATCCATAGAAACATTCTTATAGTATTTAAATTTTCTGGGAGAAAACTATTCATGGTTGAGAAGACATATTTTCAGTAAGAGGGTAAAAGAAAAATCTCCCACAAAATCCAATCCAGTGTTAGTAACAAAACAATTTATTCACAAAATAGATTGTATATCATTTTCTCAATGGAAATAATGATGAACTTCAATGACTTTTCTTAAAGGAATGAAAACCCTGGTTTGCATGACTGTGAAAATTTAGTATAGGAATTAACAAACTATTAGTATGGGTGTGAAAAAGTGCCCACCAATTAAAACTCAGAATGTGCAATTGGATCTAATACTACTTTTTTCTTGTGTTTTAAGAACTAACTCTATTATGTGTAGCAAAGAGACAAGGACAGATGATTTATATACATTTCAAAATACTGTGTTGGAAATAGTTTCTAGTATTGTATCAAACATTAGATCATATGATAGATATATACATGTAATTTATATCAATTCAACAGTTGAAGTATGGTGAGTATTATAAAAAATTATTTGTGCTTAGGGTTGGGTTCTCATGCCTCAGATCTATTGAGTCAAGTATATTTTCATTATAACTTTATAAAAGAAAAGATAAAATCAGAAAATTATTACAGATGTATCACAAAAACCATATTATATTTATAATTTCCAGAGGAAAAAGAGTTTACTTGCTTCCTAGCAATTGTGATAATTTTAATAGCAAGAAGTCCTTATTTTTATTTTTATTACCTGGGAAATAGGATAGCACGCTAACTAAAGGGAACAAGGTAGCCCAATGATATTTCGTGTAAGTAGTCTGTTCTAAATCCTTTTTGTTTTAGAATATATACTTTCCTGATTTAGAATAGATTAGTTTTTATGTGGGAAAATTTTTCTGATTTTAAATTTAGATGTGCCATTTTTCCTCCATTTGGAGATATGTCATATTGTTATTCACATACATATTTAATATGTATATTCATATTTGGAGATAGAAAAAATAAATTAAGGGATTTATTTCTTTGTCAGGATTTATTTATATTCACTATTACTTGTATTCAAAATATGCCACTAAAAGTATTTTAAGTGACAAACACATACACATTGGTATTTAAACAACAAATATTTATGTCTGGGTACACAATCGTTTTTTAGTTGTGTAATGTTGAGTCAGTCAACGAAAGTAGCTATTGAGTATACCTTGTGTCACTTAGTTTTATAAATGTTGGCAGGGGTTAGTGGTGCTGCTGATGCACTGCATTCTGTCATGCAGAATTTATGATAATACAAAAATTGTCTTTTTTACTGAATGTATGTCTTTTGTAAAAACTGCAAAATTCATGCAGAATGCATGTCTTATACTGTTTTTTTAAAAAATATTTATCACTCATTTCACAGTTGCATCTGAAACTAATAACTGCGAAAAAAACAAATGTTTTTCAAGGCTAGGAGCTAATTAAGTAAGGATATTATAGTAATTAAATGATTAATCTATCCACAAATTTAAGATTATCTAAATTTGTATCCTCCAGTACCAAATACCACAAGTTTAAAAGACATTTTGAAGCTTTAGGTATGCATACAATAAACAGTTTTTACTGTATTAGAAAATAGTGGGATC